CTTGTAGCGAGCAACCAAAATTTAAAACTAAACTATCCAAATGAACAAGAATGGGATATTATTTCTGTTAGTATTTTTTATTATTTATATTTTGTTTAATAAATTTGATCTAATTATATGAATTACAGGATCTTTTAATTCTTCTTGAGCCTATATATCGTGCAACTATAATGCTGTCTTCTTCAACACTTCCTACCCAAGGTGACCTGCGTATGATATTCCGTGGTCTTATTATTCACTTAAACAATAATGGAACTCCAGAAATTAATACCCAATATGCCGTTGCCAATACAATGAGAGTAAAAGCTACATCGTATTGGGCTCACCTAAATGAGTCCTCAACAATTTCGGGCCTTCTTGATCCGTGTAATAAACTTTCAACCTATGAAGTTAGTGAACGTGAACAAGCTATTAATAAACTCCATGAAATATATAAAATTTATAAGCCAGCTGAAGAAAATAAACCATTACCACCATTACCACTTTCTACTACTACTATTAAATCAACGCGTGAACTCTTTCATAGTCTTTCAAATTGCCATAAAGTTAACCCTAGTCAATGTGAAATTTCAAAGTACCTAAGTGAATCTGAGACCGAAGTAGCTCCACTTCTGTGGTGGAAAGCAAATTCACCAGAATACCAAACCCTCTCTCACCTTGCAATGGATATTCTTTCTGTGCAATCAACTAGTGTGCCTAGTGAGCAGGCCTTTTCTGTCGCAAAGCATACGATTAGCCCCACCCGAAATCGCTTAAGTTCTGAAGTTGTGTGGGCATCTTTGTGTTTAAAAAGCTGGTATAGAGAACTAAGCGATGTATTAAATGAAGAGGTAGGTGACACAGTTAGTGTTTAAATAAATAATTTTTTTTTTTTAGTTTTTTATATAAAAAAATTATTTTATATAAATTTTTTTTCTTATATAAATTTGTTTTATATAAAATTTTTTTTTTTTATATAATTTTATTTTTTTATATAAAAATTTTTTTAATATTCGCGGACATGGATGTCCGCAAGATCATGTATTATTATCATAAATTTTAGTAAAATTAAAAATTTTTTCGTTAAAGTTTTCTTTATAAAAAGTATATCAATCTGATTGGATGAACTTGTTTGAAGGATTGCGGCTTAGTAACGGTTTTTTGTATCAGGTCTGGGACCGTTGTTTCAGGTCCTAGGACCGGACCGGACCGGATTCGCAATTTACATCCCTAGCGGCAGCTATGGTTAATGTTATACCATTACTACGCCACCAACCTTCACGTGCTTCCGATTCTGCGGCTCAGTACAATATTTCTCTTTTACGTTATAAATGCCAATTCTATGATACTAAAATAATTAGACATAGAAACTTCGGATTGGCTCCGGATTAAGCTGAAATCTTGGTTTCGATTCAATCCCAGGATCCGACGAGTTTTAAAATACTAGTCAATTCAGAATTTAAATTAATAATCCTTATAATTAGATAACTAAAGTTTATATGTGCGCAGGAAGTTAAAACTTCAAACACTTTATATGGAATAAAATCGACAAACACATTGGAGATACAGTATGCTAAATTCAGTAGCAGCTTATTTGCAGTATGCATAAAAATAGTTGCTGTTAAGTAAGTTATATATTATTATTGGCGTATTATTTCTATGCAAAGAGATTAAAAATTCTGGACCCTTCATTTTATTGAGAATTACAATTTAAGAAATCCATTTTTTCAATGTTCAGTTGATGCATTGTCCCCATATAGAAAGATTAAAATTTTTAGATTTCCTGAATCGATGCTCATCGTGCACTGAAGGCTTGGGATAGAGTTCAAGCTCGGTTTACTTTTCATATCAGATATGTTAAACCGATTAAACCGGGTTTAAAACATAAACAATAAAACCGGTTTCAAGCTCTAGTTTAGAGGATAGGTTTGAACGAAAACGTTAGACAATGCGAGCATCATCTGCGTAACAATAAGTGCCAAAAATGAACAGACGCCGTATGCAGGAGACACGAGGTAGTATTACCTTCGGATATTCTCTACAACCGTATACAATTATTTAATTGGTTTTCCGATTCCATTGATTTAATATAAATACGGCAAAAATTTGTTAATTCTGAAAGTTTATTGTATGAACGATATTGATAAATTTTTTGATTAACGTTATTGTTACCAATATTACCAAGATCAACAAAAATGTCACAACGGAATATTGATCAAGACTATGTCAATGAAGAGGGCTTGATATATTCATTACAGAATTTATCAGCCGATGAACCTGAAATATCACAAAATGAATCATATACGAATCAACCATCAGTGCTATGGAAAGAAGTTCAAGATAATGTTCAATATTATTCCAAAAAATATAAAGAAGCTTATATGAATCATAATGATTGGTACACTGTGAAGTTATTTGGAAATATACAACCAGAGTCACAGAATATTTCTATATTACAATCAAGAATTTTAGTAAAATTAAAGACATTATCTCAATTTGATGCATCAAAATCATTTATTAAATTTAGTGTATTAATTTGGTCTTCTGATAAGTTTATAAATTTATCGGAAATTAAACCTAGTGATATGTTTGTATCAAGATTTGCAGAAATAAGGCCATATGGTTTATTACGTGAAGGACATCATGTTATTGAGACATATTGTGTAGACTTAAATAGTAATAAACCATATCAAATTATTTCTCATGATGATTTTTTAATGGGACATAAACGAATTGCTGATAATTCGAATCCTTCAGATAGACATTTTGATGGACGAAATTATTTTGTTACATTATTTTTAGATGATGTTTATGATGGTAAATATACAGAAACAGGTTTAGTTAGTGCACAAATTTTTCATGAAGGTTCGTTCGTATATGGTAGCGTTTAAGTAAAATTTGTAATTATAATTGCGCATAAAACTTTATGAATAATTTGGTTATATAATAGAAATAAATTTGTCCATGCCACCTGTATTTTTTTCTTATATTTTTTTAAATACGTATCCGACATTTCCCGATGGCGTTAATCGCTCGGAGGTATCCGATTTCTGACGAAGGAAACTACCAATAATAAAAAAAATATATTACTGCTCTTAAGTTCCATAATGTGAACCGAGAAATTAAATTTGTATGAACATACAGTATTGATTTTTGTGGATTCAACTCTCATATTGAACTGGTAGCTTGGTAGAAAAAATTTCATTTATCATAATTAAAAATTCATATATACTGGTAAAACTTTATAATGAATAAATATTTAATATCAACAGAGGTTATTCTATTAAAATTAGGCTTGATCCCAGATTCTATTCATGTTGCTCCAATTATTCCAAATTTATACGTAAACATATAAATTTACTAAATTTGATTGAGGCTAAGCCTGGATGACTCCGGAGTATGCCACCATTAACAACTCTAAATCAACAGTAATGTCTTTACAAATTGGTACATACGTATTCACTTTTTTAGCCATTTATGATTAAAACTTGTTTATAATTCATGGTCAGTTTTGCTAAGCAAGAATAGATGACTTCGTGGTATATCACGACATAATGTCCTGTAAAAATTCAAGTATTTTTATACGGAGTTGGGATTATGATGTTATATCGATATCGATATGAATAAATTTGAGTCATCTGTGATATTTCGGAAAAAACGGTAACGATTACGTAATGGGTAGTAAATTGGGTAAGTTACTCATGTAAAAATAGTTTAGATTACTATATGCTTAAACCTAATCAAGTTTTTGCAACTGCATGATTTTAATTATAAAATTTAACATAAATATATATATATTCTGTATTATGCAATATTGCATAAATTTTTTCTAAATTATTCAATTCTTTAATTGCACCATCTTTATTTAATAGACGCATTTGAACTAATGTTTCGAATTAGTTGGGCAAGCCCGAATCAAACCTGAAAGTTTCGGGTTAGAAAATTAGTAATAAAAATATCCTGAATAGTTGGGTATTAGCGGAAACAAAGTTTCCGCTTGTACACATATAGATCAGGGTATTTTTACTAAACACCCCGTGATCTTGATATAGTGATCGGGGCATTTACATGAAAATTCAGGTCAGATTTGGGTTGGCTTTAGTCTGAAAGCTTTCAACCTAACCCGATTCGAATTTTCGGATTTGCCCTAACCGTTCTATTCTTGCATTAACTTGAACAATTTAAATAATATAGTTAAATAATATAGTTAAACTTATATCGAAATTAAAATATCTTGAAAAGCTTTGGAACCAAAAGCGTTTACAGAATTAACAAATCGCTCAAAACTATTCAAAACTGGTGACAAATGATATTGCGAACGTTGTTACCAAATTTGTTTGATAGATACGGATACTTTTCACCTTACACATTTAGAATTATTTAGTTAGGTAAAACATTGAACCCTATAATATTGATAATATATTAGTAAATATATATAATTTATAAATATGAATTGTAAACTAATATACACAAGCGTAACTATTACTTGGAATATTGCGCGAAATAACGTATAGGTAGAGATTGGAACCGGTGACTAATTATTCGATCATCGGTCAAAAATTTCAAGCATCGATAATAAGCTTTCATTCACTGAGTTTTTCATCGAACATTGTGAATGTTAAAATTTAACTATTTGTTTTGATAATTGATTGAAATTTAACTTTGATAATGATAACATGATTATATAATTGATAAATAATTTAGTGATAGTAGTACAATTAATAAATATTAACAAAATTTTTAAAAACTCATCAAACATTCAAACATCGGTCAAAAATTTTTTACCGATGCTCAAAATTCTAGAGTTTGGGATCAATCAATGCTCGAAACTCACCGGTTCCAATCTCTGCGTATAGGGATGTAATTTCGAATTTTGACCTAAATTAAGTTTAGTTCGGGACATTGTTCAAAATAACGCCCCAGGGCATTATTTCGCACTTATACAGTATCAGAATTGTTGCCATTAATAGGTCTATTTATTAATTCTGATCGTCTAACTTTTATATGCTTATTGATAAATGATTCATTTTAACCTCGACATCAGAATAACGTATGAATATATCTCGAATGGATTAGAATAAAATTTTAGTAAAATACAAAAAACCAAAAGGTCAGTAAAGGATTTTAATAAAAGTTATGATCATTATCGTCATTGTTTTCATAATTGGCAGTTCATCCAATGATCACATACCGATCATTTGCCAAATCGATTAGAAGTAGACATCTATTTAGCTGAATAGATAATTTTGGTCAAATTGATAAAACATTATAGTATGATATGGTGTAGGGATGGGTTCGGTCGGTCACGGTCAGTCATTACCGGTTATTGACGGTCAACCGGTTGACCGCGGTCGGTTAAATGACAGGTCATAACCGATCGATTATTTATTCGTTTATTTGGATTTTTGCTCTGTAAACCCTTCTTCGACTTCTAATAAAGTAATAGAGGAAGAAATTTCGGCTATAATTATGGTTAAACAATCAATATTGACCCAGTAGATAACGAGATATGAGAATTTTAATTCACACGACTAGTGTTTCGCATACCCGAACCGAAAACCCGGACCCGGCCGGCCTGGCCTTGCGGGCCGGGTCGGAACCATGACTTTTCAGACCCGATCAGGACCGGGTCACGAGAGAGACCCGAACCTACAATACCCGGACCGACCCGTAATGTACCCATAATGTAGAAGGCACAGCTGATTGGTTGCTTGTTTTATATAAAAATGATTTTTTTTTTTTACTAGAATACGATGTTTCATTCGCCTTTATAAAAAGGCAAAGTGCCAATTTTTTTCTTTTTTCTATTACACTGAAACTTTTTGGCCTCCCGTCTTTCACAATAAGTTCAGGTACATAACCATAATCCAATATAATCAATACATTTCCCTAAACTGAGCTTGATAGACTAAACTTTATTTATTTTTTTTTTTATTGAACCAATTTTCTTAAGAACATTAAGTTCGGTATAGAATTAGCTGGAAAAAAAAAACATTATGTCGAGCTTAAGTGTATTTCCATATGATAATGAAACTTGCAATGAACCCTATGATGAACCTTATAATGAACCTTATGATGAACTTTTAGATGAATCCTTCGATGAATCTTATAATGAACCTCATGATGAATATTGTGATAAGCTTTATAATGACAATGCCACTCAGGCACTAACAAATATAACCTGTTTGGATGAATTTGTGAATGATGAATCATTATCTTCAACTGAAACTATTATAACTAATAGATAATTTCTTCAAAAGCTTAGTACTGTATTAACTTTATATCATATAGCAATACTAATGTATTAATTTATAGATTATTTGTATGGAACCATTTTAAAAAAAAAAAAAAATCAAAAATAAAGATGGGTTGATTGTATTGGCTGCAGTATGTAAACATTGTGGTAATAGTTTAAAAATCCATAAAGATGGATCAAATTCAAGCTTCTGGAAACATCTCATTTGTCGATATAAAAACAAAGTACCAGAATTGGAAGGATTGAATGATCCAAATGAGCCAATGTGAAATGTTTTTGTTTTGGATATACTTAAAAGCAAAGCTGTAAGTTAAAAAAAAAAAAAAGTATATTCAGTAGCATCTTTAAAACATATCATAGTGCATAATTATTAGGCTACAAGTCAAGGTTGTGAATCCTTTGAGTCTAAAAAATATTTTTTTTTTTTTTTTTTTTTTTTTTTTTTTAAGGTGAGGCCTTGCTCATATCTTTATTAGCAATTTATTTGAGTAAT